TACATATTGTACATACTTTACAAATGATGAGATTGTTTTAATGATAATAACATGGTTTTAAATGATGATATGCAAACATCAGTCAAATCTAGTATATTCATCTCATACTTAGAGAAAAATCCTCAGGGATTGTTTAGGGTTCTTAGGCATACTGTCCTGTGACAGACACTCTGAATACAAAAGATGATTGAATAGGGTTCCGGGGCACTCGAACACCTCTCATTAAAAATTGACTCCTTGATAATTGTCTGAGTAAGAAAGTTCCAGAAAATAACTCACACCGGTGTACTATGACTAATAGATCTATGAAATAATTCAGGGGAAAGTTGTATTTATTTACCTTAAGTAACACATCTTCTCTCCATTCCACTTGCGAATCACTGTGCGGACTTTTGCACCATACTTGAATTCTGTCACCCGGCCATTTCCAAAGTACTGGCTGCTTGTAATTGGCTCACCACCCAGATCAATTACCTAGTAGAAATTTCGGAAAAATAACAATTTTCATAAGGACTTTAAAGTATTTTAAACAATAAATTGATATTATATACTATTTATTATTAGTTTTGGTCTTGTTTTTTTCCTTTTTTTTTTTTTTTTTTTCTGGCTTCATGCAATCCTCCTGCCACCGCTTCCCCAAGTGCTGAGCTTGCGTGCAGGAGCCACCATGCACAGTCTTATTTCTGAAATGAAATGCTCAAAATGGTTTTCTTATTCTTATTATCTCAACAGGTAATATTCTTTTATTTTTTATTTATTGATAAAGTATACACTACAATATTGAAAGAAACATAATGTAAAGGTTACCTGTTGTTGTGTGAGAATAATTACTTAATTTTTCATCTCATACGTCAATGATAATAATAGTAACAGCTCACACTAACACAACATTTACTATCTGATTGACATTTCTTGATAAATACTCTTTCCATTGCCGAAGAAAATAAAGACATAGCTATCATCCTTCTCCTACATTCTGTGTACCTCCAGAAAGAACTTCATTTTGCTTTAAAGTTGTCAGTGTCCTTTCCAGAAACTATTTATATTCCTGTAAGAAGCACAATTTACAAAGTAAATATTAGCATGCCTAAATACATGAGGGCAAATTGTTTGGTCATAATCTGAAAATGATCACCAATAAAAACCTTAACAGGTGAAGAACATTAAAAAGTCTCTCATGGAAATAATCTAAATGACCTTTAGAAATTAATCTTTTTTTTCTTAATGATAAAATATTAACCTTTACAAAGCTCTGGCAATGTGTACACACACACACACATACACATATAGCACATACATAAGGACAGTGTATGTATTTATACACATAAAGACTCATATATATATATATGTATATATATATATATATATATATATATATATATCACACACATATATATATACCCACACATATCTATACAGTCCTTATATATACCCACACATATCTATACAGTCCTTATTTATGAGGCGGCAGCCTGTCTCTTAAGGGAGCTCAAGCACTGTACTGGGGGATCAGTTATTCCCTTCAGGGATGCTGGGCAGGAACATTTAAGTCTGCTGAAGTGGAACACACAACTGCCTGTTTTCCTAGGCGCTCTGTCCCAGGAAGGTAGGGACTTTGTAAGTCCCTGACGGGCTGCCGTGTTTTGTTTTTTTTTTCCCCCCTGTGGGCAACAAAACCCTTTGTATTAAAGTTTTGTCAATTTAGGATCTGACATATTTTGGACAGAGATAAATCAAAGTATAAAAAGATCAAAAGAGGCTGTATTAAAATGACAAAGGAGAATAAATTCAAATTCTGTAAAACGTGTGACACGTTAATTACAAATGTCATATTTCCATTTGAGCAAATCCCAAAAGACTCCCTCTTCTAAGCAATTTTGTCTTATTGTACTTTAGGTTCTGGGGTACAAATGTAGATCATGCAGGATTGTTGCATAGTTATAAATGTAGCAATGTGGTTTGCTGCCTCCATCCCCCCGTCACCTATCTCTGGCATTTCTCTCTTTGTTATCCCTCCTCAACCTCCCTGTCCCCTGCTGCCCAATTCCCTAGTACCCCCCAACAGAACCCAGTGTGTGATGTTCCCCTCCATGTGTTCATGTCTTCTCATTGTTCAATACTCACCTATGAGTGAGAAAATGTGGTGTTTGATTCTCTGTTCTTGTGTCAATTTGCTGAGAAAGATGACTTCCAGATTCATCCATGCCCCTGCAAAGGACACGAACTCATCATTTTTTATAGCTGTATAGTATTCCAAGATGTATATTTTCTTTGTCCAGTTTATCATTGATGGACATTTTGGTAGGTTCCAGGTCTTTGCTCTTGTAAACAGTGCCACAATGAACATACCTATGCATGGGTCTTTATAATATAATGATTGCTGTGTTTTTTTTCTTTTGTGAGATGCCCTGCCCATCAAGAAGGGAATCTACTTGACAGTCTGCCTGCAGAGGCCATGCTGAGCTGCAGTTCTGGGCTCCACTCAGCTGCCGTGTAAACTTCCGGGGGGCTTTGTTTACACAGGCAATGTTGAAATTGCTACTGGAGCCCCAACGGTGGCAGGTGCCCCTCACCCCACCAAGCTCCAATGTGCCAGGTGGGGCTCAGGCTGGTGTAACGGCTGCAAGAGTTTTAAGCAAGCCATTGGATTTTAGCTTGGCATTGTAGGCATCAGAGGGAGTTTCCTGGTCTGTGGGTTATGTAGACAGTGGGAAAAGCACAGTATCTGAGCTGGAATGCAGAAAAAGTCCCTAATGGCTTTTCTTGGCTGGGAGAATGAGTTCTCCAGCCCCTTGCACCTCAGGGGTGAGGCAGTGCCCCACCCTGCTTTAGCTTGCCCACTTTGGGCTATTCCCACTGTAAGCAGTCCCAATGAGGTGAACCTGGTACCTCAGTTGGAAATGCAGCAGTCACTCATCTTCTGGCTTGTTCTCACGGGGATCTGCAGACTGCAGCTGTTCCTATTTGGCCACCTTGGCAGAAGTCCTATAAAGTCTTCTAACATCTACCTCTTTCCACTCTTATCCTGCTATAATCTGGTTTCTTCCCAGAGGCAAGGGTGATTTTTTTTAAAGCCTATTAGCCTTTCAGTTCCCTTTCTTACAGCCTTAACAGCTCTCTCTTTATTCAGGTTCTACAAAGCTCTACGTGATCTGGCCTACCTCTCTGACCTCATCTCATTTTATCACACACTTTATCACATGTGCTCTAGCCACTGACTGTTTTTTTTTTTTTTTTTTTTCTTTTAGCATGTCTTATGTATTAACTTTTTCTTTTCTTGGGACATTACTCTTGCTCTTTCCACTATCTAAATATTTCCTTCTTTGGTCTCTAAATGACTGGACACTTCTAATCCTTCATATCACATCATAAAGTCACTCTTTTAAGGGATCTCTTCCATTATTATACAGTCTACAATACCTGACAGCAATGGCATTCTCCATTGTATTATTTTATATAAAAAATAAAGTTTATAAAAATAATAAAGTTTTTATGGCTGTCTGAAATTATTTTTATCATCACTGTTAGTATTGTTGCTAATACTGTTATTTACTAGTATATTTTCTTTTCTTTCCACTACAATGTAAGATCTCTGAGAACAGGAACATGTCTTTTTCATTGTCTCCTGAAAATCACCTACAGTGCTTGGCAAAAAACAGACACACACTTAACACCTGTTGAATGAATGGATGAAGTTTTTCACACCTATATTATTACTACTCCTTTCACAGCATTTCACTAACATTACATTAAGAAGGAAAGATATGCAAATTTATTTATTTATAATAGAATGATTATAATAGAATCATTTTTAAAATCTTAGTACAGAAACATAAAAAACCAAATATTTGAATTAAGGATGATAAACAGAGCTGATTTTAAAAATGGAAATATTACATAACACCTCTGTTTTAAATGGAAACATAACAAACATTTGAAAATAGACAGTTAAAGCAATATTTTGAAAATTCAGTTGGTATCAATTGTGATTTTCCATTAGTGAAGGATATCAGAAATAAAATAATATCCTTATTTATGTTATTTAATTAAGATTTATATATATATACACACACACAAACATATATATATATATATATATATATATGGACTATATATATATACACACAGAGAGAGAGAGTATTTTACATATATGGATTATATATATATATATATATATATATATATATATATATATATATACACACACACTGTAATATATAAATATATTAGTTTGTTCTCATGCTGCTATAAAAAGAGTGACCAAGACTGGGTAGCATACAAAGGAAAAGAGATTCAATCAACGCACAGTTCCTCATGGCTGGGGAAGGCTGAGGAAACTTACAAACCTGGTGGAAGGGGAAGGAAATGCATCTTTCTTCACTTGATGGCAGGAAGGAGATATTCTGACCCAAAACTCAAAAGCCCCTTATACAACTATCAGATCTTGTGGGAACTCACTCACTGTCATGAAAACAGCAACGTGGGATAACTGCCCCCGGGATTCAATTTTCGTTACCTTCCACCAGGTCCCTCCAGGAACACATGGGGATTACGGGAGCTACATTCAAGATGAGTTTTTGGAGCGGAAATTGCCAACCACACACACACCCACACACACACACACACCACACACACGCACGAGTCTATATATGTCTATACACACACATAAATAAGGACTATATAGGTGTGCGTGTGTGCGTGTGTGTGCGTGTGTGTATACAGGTCTTATGTAAATATATACACTGTCCTTATGTATGTACTATACGTGTGTGTGTGTGTGTGTATGTGTATACCCACTACCAGAGGTTTGTAAATGTTAATATTTTATGAATAAGAAAAAAAGGTTAATTTTTAAAGGTCATTTAGATTATTTCCGTGAGAGACTTTTTAATGTTCTTCACCTGTTAAAATTTTTATTGGTGATCCTTTTCAGATTATGACCAAACGGTTTGTCCTCAAGCATTAGGCATGCTAATATTTACTTAGTAAAATGTGCTTCTTACAGGAATATAAATAGTCTCTAGAAAGGACACGGGCAACTTCAAGGCAAAATGAAGTTCTTTCTGTTGCTCTTATCCATCGGGTTGTGCTGGGCTCAGTATTCCCCAAATACACAACAAGGACGGACATCTATTGTTCATCTGTTTGAATGGCGATGGGTTGATATTGCTCTTGAATGTGAGCGATACTTAGCTCCCAATGGATTTGGAGGGGTTCAGGTGGGTATTATTCCTATTATAAATTGCAGAATTTGCTGTGTTGTATTAAATAGTGTTCTGATCTTACCTGTGAACCTGGGGCAAGATTGTACCTCACATGTTAAGTATTCTAAGTAAAACAGTTTTCCGAGGAAAAAACAATGTAGTATTGTTGGCAACTTTGTATTTTCTTTCTGAGACATTCTTTTCTCCAACAAGAATCCTCTAATGTGCTGTTAATATTTTCAAGAGGCAGTTGCATACAAAGATTCAGGAATTTTTTTAATTATTGATTAGTTTCTAGAACATTCAACGATATAATGTAAGACACAATTTGGTACTTATTAAGACTGTTTAATTTGTAGGTCTCTCCACCAAATGAAAATCTTGTAGTTCACAACCCTTCAAGACCTTGGTGGGAAAGATACCAACCAATTAGCTATAAATTATGCACAAGATCTGGAAATGAAGATGAATTTAGAAACATGGTGACTAGATGTAACAATGTTGGGGTAAGTGAATTCTAGTTTCTTTCAAAAATGGCAGATGGGAAAATGATTTCTCTCTCCTATTTCTCGCTCCTTTGGAGCAGAAAGTTTTCCGTAGTTTCAATTTTTTATTTTACTTGATACTTTATAACTCAAAATTAACTTTTGCCTTATGTTCAACTTTTGTAAGTATTTGTGTATGTGCTGTCTGTCTACTAAAGAGTTAAAGTTTAAAGCAGAATTTTTACTTATAAAACAAAACATCAAATTTTAACCGTTATGGCTATCCATATTTGCTGGAAATACATTTCTGGTTAGTAATTAAAAATTCCAGTTACAATATGTGTTATCATTTTTAGGTGACCTATGTCTCCATCCATAATTCTTGGGTTTCTCATGATGAATAGCTAGTTTCTCTATTTAGTGAGGAGCATAATCTGAGACTACTATATACCTTATTTGTCTTCAAATGCTAAGTAGAGAGTACAGGCCTTCCCATTCTGTTCACTCTAATGATTGTTTATTTATTGTGCAGAAGCTGTTAAGTTTAATTAGATCCCATTTGTCTGTTTGGCTTTTGTTGCTATTGCTTTTGGTGTTTTAGTCATGAAGTCCTAGCCTATGCCTATGACCTCAATAGTATTGCTTAGATTTTCTTCTAGGGTTTTTATGGTGTTAGGTCTTAACGTTTAAATCTTTAATCCATGTGGAGTTAATTTTTGTATAAGGTGTAAGGAAGGGACCCAGTTTAACAATCCTGCATGATCTGCACATGTACCCCAGAACATAAAGTATAATAAAGAGAGAGAGAGAGAGAGAGAGAGAGAGAGAGAGAGAGAGAGAGAGAGAAAGAGTACAGGCTTCCTCCTGGTGACCAACTGAAGTTTCCAAAACAGTAACCTTTCCAGTCTAATCTGAGTTTTGTCTCCCTGAAATGGGCTTTTCGCGTTTCCTCTTACTGATGATAGTTTCAGGATCTCTCAATTTATCATTCCTATAAATATTTGCCCAAGTGTCTAGAATAGATGTAGGTGTTTAGTTCACAGTACTTTCCTTTCACATTTGACTTTCGGTTTTATAAGAAAATAGCTACAGAATATAAGGACGTATTTTGGAGTTTTATTTACACACTATGAACTTTATTCAATAATGCTTCCAATTCCTAACTCTCTAAGTGACACTGAAGTAGAAACTTTGTCTTCCAGGTTCGTATTTATGTGGATGCTGTAATTAATCATATGTGTGGTAATGGTGCCGGTGCAGGAACAAGCAGTACTTGTGGAAGTTACTTCAACACTGGAAATAGGGAGTTTCCAGCAGTCCCATATTCTGGATGGGATTTTAATGATGGTAAATGTAAAACTGGAAGTGGAGATATTGAGCTCTATAATGATGCTTCTCAGGTAATTTTTTAAAGATAGTGATCTAAATAAACAGTGATATATGCCTTTTATTATAGACATGCAGCTAATTGAACTCCCTTTTAAATACTATTATAGATCTCTTAGAGACACAGGTTAACAGGTTTGACTACTTTAAGGGACTCAAATCTATGTTTTAAAAATGTTAACTATTGACTCAAGATTGTTTAATCAATATACACTTATCCACCTTTATAAAGCTCCCAGTCAATTAAAAAGCTCATCAACTTTATTTCCTAAATTCTCTGTTTTCTACTAGACAATATTTCAAAGATAAATCCACAGTAAGGTATTAACATCCTCAGTGCCCAGGTGCAAAGATGTCACTACAAAATATCTATTGATGGATAACTGAATCAATGAATAACCAAATGTATTCTCAGGTAAAAAAAATGATGTTTTGTGAATCAATGACAACATTTTTTGTCTCAACAGGTCAGAGATTGTCGTCTGGTTGGTCTTCTGGATCTTGCACTGGAGAAAGATTATGTGCGTTCCAAGATTGCCGAATATATGAACCATCTCATTGACATTGGTGTTGCTGGCTTCAGACTTGATGCTTCCAAGCACATGTGGCCTGGAGACATAAAGGCAGTTTTGGATAAACTGCATAATCTAAACACTAACTGGTTCCCTGAAGGAAGTAAACCTTTCATTTACCAGGAGGTACATCCATACATATATGCATCAAAATGTCACCTTTTTTCTTAGAAAAGCAATAGCAGATTCCCTTAAAAATGCAATTTTTATAGGATAAGGACTGACTTACTTATATAAAACAGTGTTCTCTAACCTCTTCTTCAGATACAGCATATCTAATTCTTTATCACAGCAGGTTTTATGGAGGTACACAGAATGTAGGAGAATGATAATAGTTATGTCTTTATTTTCTTTGGAAAATGAAAAGTTAATATTTATCAAGAAATGTCAGTCAGATAGTAAATGTTGTGTTAGTCTGAGCTGTTCCTATTATTAACATTGAGGTACAGGACCAAAAATTAGGTAAGTATTCTCACAGGACAACAGGTAATGTTGACATCATATTTCTTTCAATATTGTAGTGTATACTTCATCAAAAAATAAAGAATAGAAGAATATTACCTGTTGAGATAATAAGAATAAGAAAACCATTTTGAGCATTTCATTTCAGAAATAGGACTGGGAGTGGTGGCTCATGCATGCAATCTCAGCACTTGGGGAAGCTGTGGCAGGAGGATTGCTTGAGGCCAGGAAAAAAAAAAAAAGACCACCAAAACTAATAATAAGTAGTATATAATATTACCGTATTGGTTAAAATACTAAAAGACCTTATGAAAATTGTTATTTTTCCTAAATTTCTACTAGGTAATTGATCTGGGTGGTGAGCCAATTACAAGCAGCCAGTACTTTGGAAATGGCCGGGTGACAGAATTCAAGTATGGTGCAAAACTCGGCACAGTGATTCGCAAGTGGGATGGAGAGAAGATGTGTTACTTAAAGTAAATAAATACAACTTTTCCCCTCAATTATTTCATAGATCTATTGGTCATAGTACCCCAGTGTGAGTTATTTTCTGGAAATTTCTTATTCAGACAACTATCAAGGAGTCAGTTTTTAAAGAGAAGTGTTCAAGTGCCCCCGAACCCTATTCAATCATCTTTTGTATTCAGAGTGTCTGTCACAGGACAGTATGCCTAAGAACCCTAAACAATCCCTGGGGATTTTCCTAAGTATGAGATGAATATACTAGATTTGACTGATGTTTGCATATAATCTTTTAAAGCCAGGTTATTATTAAAATGATCCCATCATTTGTAAAGTATGTACAATGTGTCCACACTGTAGAACTTACATATATTAATTAAAGCACTAAAACATTTATATTATAACAATATATTATTGAAGCCTTATTTTAATCTAGTTTGACATTCTTTATAATGTGATATGGATATTGATTCTTCTGGAGTACCTCTAAATTAGAATATGCTGAAACCTCCAAAAGGAAACTTTTTAAACAGTAATCTTATATCTGTTATATGAATAGAATTCAAGGATTACATACATGCATATACAAATATGGGCTGTATATGTAGATTACTCACTTGTGTTTGTGTATGGTTTGTGTGCACATATACACGTGTGTGTGTGCATATATGTGTGTGTTTGTGTGTGTGATTGTGTGTCTGTGTATGTATATATATATATATATATTTGTGTGTGTGTGTGTATCTGATAGAATAACCATTTAATTAGAGAGTTTAATCTTCAGATGCCATGCAGAAAGAGATGCATGGTTACGTTACTCTAAAGCTATTGTGAAATAATACATAACTGCATATATTATTTTTCAAAAATAGGAACTGGGGAGAAGGTTGGGGTTTCATGCCTTCTGACAGAGCACTTGTCTTTGTGGATAACCATGACAATCAACGAGGACATGGGGCTGGAGGAGCTTCCATTCTTACCTTCTGGGACGCTAGGTAGAAAACAAAGTGCTCTATTTTGTAAATACATCTTTTAATGATGGTAGAAATATTCTATGATTCTATGGTAATATAATTATGTAACTTTCAGGCTGTATAAAATGGCAGTTGGATTTATGCTTGCTCATCCTTATGGATTTACACGAGTGATGTCAAGCTACCGTTGGGCAAGACATTTTGAAAATGGAAAAGTAAGTTTTGGAGTTATTCAAAATATCATGTTTTCAAGAAAAAGGAGGAAATTATGTTCTAACTTAAGGTGACCACTATGAATTCTATATGTATTCAACAAATATTTATTAAGTGTAAACCTGATACAGGATTCTGATTTTAGTAATGTCGATTATATTAAAGTAGCAAAATGTATGTTCTCTGTTATCAAAGATTATGCAAGCTGTTTGAGAAATATGACAAATATCCTCCTAGCCCGCAGGAAAAAAAAAACACTTAAAAATAAGAGCCAGACACAGGGAATAAAATATGGACTTCCAACAAGTACCTACCTCGGGGTTGATATGAGGATGATACATATCAACACTTCTAGAGAATTTAAAACGTCATCTGCCCATAGTGAAAGCAATATAAATATTTCTTAAATACTTTTTCAAAAGTTATATGGAATACAAAGCAATGATTCAGCTGAGCTGAGTTAAATAGGAAAAGTATCTTATAAGAGGAAGCAAATTATATATATTAAAGAATAGCAATTTATAGAGTATTCTAAGAAAGGTAAGAATGAGAAAAATATTTGAGAGTATGGTATACACACTAATCTGATGAGTAGTTTCAGAAAGGAACAGAGAAATAAGAGTGTAAAGATATCTGGAAATCTAGTAGAAGGTTTTCCTTGAAACTAAAGGGTTCAGAAACAGCATCATACAGAAACTTCACACTTAAAGCAGAAATTCCTCACTCCTATGAGGCACACCGATATCTCTCTGGCTTCTTCTAGATGCCTTTCAGTTTGAGAAGTCCACTACTTTGTATAGCAACTCATTCTATTGTTAAACAGCTTTAATATTTAGAAGGTGTTCCATTATATTGAGCCAACCTCTTATGATTTCTATTAATTGGTCTTAGTTCTGATGTTAGGAGTCAGAGACTCTTTTTATTTTTCTATTACTATAACATTTTCACTTTGCTAGGACAACTGCATGCTAAAAACTCTTAGTTTTGTTTGTTTTTCACCATATGACATGATTCTAGAGTCAACACTGATAACCATCCTACGGTTATTCTGGTTTATATTAAATTAATTTTTTAGCAGTACCAATAAGAAAAACATATTACAAATATTGCCAATTTTATTTAAAATATTCGGAAGTATTGTTTTGTACATTTATCTAAAAAGAAGTATGAAGGACTCTAAAATTTATTTAGCACATGTCATCACATTCAAGGCATTTTCACATTCGTTATTTAATTTTTATAGCAGAAAAGCAATATTCCCATTGCACAAATGAGGAAACCAAGACACAGAGAAATTGTGTATATTGACTAAGTTTTCTTAGCTACTAGTAATGGAGCCTACATGTTTAATACTGCTGTTTCCAATACTAATACTTGCACCATTTCAATGACATCACATGGTTTACCATGATGTTAAGAAAGCCTTGCAGGTCAGGTGCAGTGGCTTACACCTGTAATCCCAGCACTTTGAGAGGCCAGGTGAGACCATCACCTGACCTGAGGAGTTCAAGACAAACTAGGCAAGCTAGCAAGACTTCATCTCTACTGAAAATAAAAGTTAAAAAATGAAGAAGAAGAAGAAATAGCTGCCTGTGGTTGTGGCTCACCAACACTCCCAGCTACTCGGGAGGCTGAGATGGGAGGGTCTCTTGAGCCTGGGAGATCAAGGCTGCAGTGAGATGTCATTGTGCCACTGTACTCCAGCCTGGGTGACAGAGCAAAGAGGCCTTTGCAGTTCTTTGGAATGAAAAGGAGAGGATAAAAATGTACTACCTTTGCTTGAAATATAGCAACAGAGAACCAGAGGATACAGAGATGACAAAGACCTGGCAGAGGGCTGTAAAAATTAATGGAGGCATTGCATTCTAGATCAAGTCACTGACTACAGAGACACAAAAAGCAGGATAAATTGAGTTTGCTGTGAAGGAGAAGAAAGAGGCAAATATATGAATATAAAAATTTGGCTTTCCTCTCCCCCCTCACCAATTAAGGATGTTAATGATTGGATTGGGCCACCAAATAATAATGGAGTAATTAAAGAAGTTACTATTAATCCAGACACTACCTGTGGCAATGACTGGGTCTGTGAACATAGGTGGCGCCAAATAAGGTGAGAATATTTATTTAGACATCTCCTCTGCTAGTAAACTTTCTTTACCATTTTATTGACAATAGTTGAAGTTTAAGAATGTGAATGTTTTATATGTTACTGTGTTTCTAGGAACATGGTTCTCTTCCGCAATGTAGTGGATGGCCAGCCTTTCACAAACTGGTGGGATAATGGCAGCAACCAAGTGGCTTTTGGGAGAGGAAACAGAGGATTCATTGTTTTCAACAATGATGACTGGTAAGTAAATATTGATTAAAAATAAGGTTTTGTACCTGTATGTTCTTGGTTTATTCTTTTTTTCTGTTGATTTCCTTTTATTGTATCTGAAAAATCATTTAGTCAGTGGAGCAAAAAGACATAGAGATCAAAATGGGCAGAAGTCAAAGGATGATGGCTCTTACTTCTTTGTTCTCCTATTTTCATAAAGTCTTTCTGTTGTCATCAGAGTCCTTTCTGCGCACCCTTACAGCACCTTATGCCTTTATAGAATGCACATATATGTGCTCATCTACACGTGCCACAAAATACACAAAGTAGTTAATATACAGATTGTGCAATCATTAAAAGAACATGTCTTGTAGTCCTGCTTTTTTAATCATGGAAAAATGCTGCCTCGGTACTGAAATATCTTTATTTCTAACTCTTTTATTCAACAACTACTCTACCTAGTTTTGTGGTATATTTTATTCACTTCTCTATTTCCTTGTGACAAATAATATTTTTAAAGCATATGTATGAACAACATGTATCTTGTGGTTAATGATTTGCCTTAGGAGATTTGAGTTTTAGTTCTGAAACTTCTCATTGTTGACCTTTCATCTGTGGGCTTATATCTTTTGTCTGTCGGATAAATGATTCCCTAACCTATGGCTCAGAAAACCTCCTTGCAAGCAGTTGAAATGTCTCTGTCAAAGGCCAACTTATACTCATACTTAGCCCATTCTAGTCTAAATTACATTTCACTGTAGAAAGATACATACACACACACACACACACACACACACACACACACACACACACATATATATATGTATATACGTCAAGTAGATCTCTTTCTTGCCAAAAAGATCCATGTCTGGTTTTATATTTCAAACTACACTTCTTCATAGAAATGCTAGGTTGTTTGTATGTACACCCCAAATTCTTTTTAACCTCATGGGAAAGAACAACATAAAAAAGAAATACCCTTTACCTTTTTTAAAGTAATTGTATTAAGTTTGGTTGAGCACAAATTTGATTTTACCAAGGTAGCACTTTTATCAAAGTGTGACCATTCCTGCCAATCTTCAATGATATTCTTCAACTTTGATTTTTTAGCAATATTTTCACTACTGACCAGGGAATTGCTAGGTGTTCTGTACGGTTACTTTTGGTCCTGGGTAAGCTATTTACATCTACTAGAGAAGCATATGGGTTTTCTTTTTAATGAGACCTTGACTGCCTAGAGTTATACAGCATAAAATTATGTTGTTTATTCACATTAGAGACAGTCTGTATTCTTGCTTTTTGTTTTATTGAAGTTAAATCTTAAATTTTGTTTTACAGGTCACTTTCTTTAACTTTGCAAACTGGTCTTCCTGCTGGCACATACTGTGATGTCATTTCTGGAGATAAAATTAATGACAATTGTACAGGCATTAAAATCTACTATTTCTGATGATGGCAAGGCTCATTTTTCTATTAGTAACTCTGCTGAAGATCCATTTATTGCAATTCATGTTGAATCTAAATTATAAAACTTAAATTAAAAGTATATATGCAAAACATTAGCAATGTGTGTTTCTTTTCTTACACTTACAAGTACTTCTTATATTTCATTGATTTTTTTCAATATGGAATTCGTTAGGGGTCTTATCTAGTTTTCTTTATAACTCTCACTTTTTAGAAAAATGTTTAAATGATGAACATAGAGGCCCTAACTCGGAAGTGTCTCTTCTTTTGACCTATAATTATATCTGTCCCTGCCACAAAACAGATTCACTGTGTATTGGTACCACTTCAGCTCACTCCTCTTGGGCTGCAATTTCTACTACTTGCATAAGTCCAGTGAGATAGAACATACACACAAAAAGTTACACGAAGCAGGTTTACTGCTTACAGATAGGCATCAAGAGACACGGAAACCTGGGATTCATGAGGAGCCCGCCTCCCAAGACTCAGACAATTTTCCTAGGGCGGAATCAAGTCTTATTTTCTTGTGCCCTGTTTGTACCTCAGCTGAGGGACCCCTGAAAGAAGCCTGCTCCTGTTTTATAACCTGGGCATCGCATGATACACTGGGCTAAAGCACTGAAGGACGTGCTGTTCTGAGACACAGTGACAGAGTCTGAGCCTTATCGCAGGACGCTGCATTCCCAGCTCATTCTACAGTCACTCTTGAGCACTGTAAGTGAGAGAAGGCAAAGAGCTGGGCTGGCCCAAGGCCACCTGGAGAGCTGTCCTGCATTTTCCGCAATGTTTTCCTTTTCTCCTCTTACAATGCAGGAAGTACACCTCATTCTAAGAAAGGCCATTTTTCTCTACTTACGTTAATGATAACACTCCATTTTTATCTTTTGGTGGACTTAATTTTTTCAGATTATCCTCCCTCTTTTGATTTAGCAGGTTTTCCCTTTCTTCTGCATGGTTCCTCTCAGATTACATACATTACAGTATTCCCAATATCAATGAGTGCCCTCAGATATCCTTTTGGATATATTTCTTTGCTCATTTTCTTGCTCCATTTTCTAATCATACCTCTCTTTTTATCACATTTATCCTGACATTACTATTACACATTGCTTTTTTTGTATCAAAATATCTCATATACCCTATAAATATGTCTACCTGATAGATACCAACCATTAAAAATTTTAAAAAGTGTATTTTTCCCAGTGAACCCAAATATTTTACATTGATAATTTTTAACATATCACAGTGTGTTGGAATAATCACTGCTTTGGAAAGAAAAAACATAGATACAAACTTTCAATGATGGCATGAGATATAGATCTCTCTTGCTTTAGTGCATTACAATATGTAATTTATTACCAACATTACATTGACAATGTTTAACACAAAACATACTCTGCAAACGATATGATTATAGGAGTTATAGGAAGAAGCATTTTTTCAGACTGTGATTATTTTAGGCTATGAAGAAAGGAGATATTTTCTCTATGATGTCTAATTTGGCTTGATTATTGTTTTATAAACTATATATTTAAGATATACACAAACAAATTACTTTTAGTAGGAAGGATAAATTTTTAAATTTTCTGTGTAAGATGACTATGTAGTAAAAAGGTCACAAACGTGCTTTTTAACTTAGAAAAATAATCTCCCCTTCTTGCTCCATGAAAAATTGAAATGTTTTGTGGAACCCCAATGTACAAAAACTAGCAGTGATGTTTACTGTCTTTCAATGGATTGAGGTAAGGTGAACGCTGGCTCCACCATTTTCTACCCTGTCCTAGATGACTTGAAAACATTTATACAGCCATAAAATGTTGCTTTTAAATTCAAGATAAAAAACCTTTAAAATGTAATATTTTTATGTTTTATTTTAATGTCTTACATGGAAAATGCTTTTGAAAGGTTAAAAGTTAAAAATTTTGAGTATTGTGAAATAATCTATTCACATGTGGAATTCTTTTTACTATTTTCCAAAGCATTTTTTTTGTTATTGAATTGAAAACAAGTTGCATGTAACTCATAAGTAGTATAAACATGTTTAAGATTTCATTTTCTACTGCAATAATGTTACATAACAACCTTAACATCTTGGTAACTTTAAACAATATATATTTTTCTTGCTCCCAAATCTTCAGGTTACTTAAGGGCAGTTCTACTTGATATTGCTGTTTGCCTGGGCTTTATTCCAGGCTGTGTGTTGGAGTTAGGTCTAATCTATTTTATCCCTGCACTTACCGGTTAGAAAGGCTAACAACGTTTCTCTGGACTTCAGTCATTTGGATTGTATTTGTCATTCAAAGCCAGATCATTTATTCTAACACCAATTGCGTCTTTTTGTTCTACAGTCTTTTTCTAAAACTGTCTTTCTCTGGACTCTCTTTCACCTTCTCTGACACACATGTCCCCTTATGTCTCTAGGGTCTTCTATTTCCATGTAATCTTAATTTTTCATCGTGTCCTGGACTCGCTAGTAGTTCACTTGTTGTTCTTCCTGAAAGTACAGACTTGTTGAAAAAAAAATGTGTTCTTTAAAAAGCAGCTTTGTTTTTCCATTTAGGTATTAACTTCCAGATTTAAGTGAAAATAAATTCCAAGTTTTATGTTTCATTGTGTGTCTAAGACTAACACGGACACCAAACTGTAAGTACTGTGGCACTTACAGTTTGCTTTCAATGTCTCCATATTCTCTGTCTGAAAGGCTGGGTATCAATCTCATGTGTGAACATATTTCTCAGAATCATGCAGTACCAGCTATTTTCCTTCTGTATATTATGGCTACTGAGGTGCCTATTAAGCAGCCAGGAGAAATTGCCTTTTAATCTATATAGGAACCAGCCTCTTTCCTTCTGATGATAATGCCTTTTGTTAAAAGGTCATGCTGTATTGAAGTCTTACTTTCATGCCAAAACCACTAATGGAACTCATCTACCTACTGATGGGTAAAAGCTCTTAGTATACCAAAGTCTTGTTTTGTTTGAGAAGAATCTCTTTCCCTCAACAGTGATATGCTACATTAGGTCTCAATCATTGTTGCCTTTAATCCAAATTTATCACAAGGATTTTCAGTTATTATGCAAAGTTTCATTCTCTGGCTGTAACCATCAATCTATGGACCTGTCAAACCACACCATAAAAAGTCTGAGGTCTAGAGGCAATATTTACTTCTCAGAATCATTTGCCTATCCTTTGATAAAGTTTTGCCTTTCTTTATGGGTTTTTTTTTGCCCTTATGATTTCCCAGTTTCTTGAGAAAAAAGAAGTTCTTGCCTCCTGCAGTCTTTCTCATTAGTTGATTTATACCATCGAGTACAGCTTCTGATCATGTTGAGAATTCCACCATAGAGAAAGAAAACATTTCCGATTGCGTGTATTAAGTTTCTCGAATTTCCATAGGCATTAAACTTAGTTCGAGAATACAACCTCATGATCTTGTCTTATTCTCAGAACAAGAATTATATTGCTATTTATATATTACAGTAAACCCTGTAGGCAGGCAGGAATACTTCAGAATTCTCAATGAATTCATTACTGGCTGTTAGAAATTACAACACTGTTAATGATCGCCATTCTAACTGTTGTGAGATGGTATCTCAATGTGGTTTTGATTTGCATTTCTCTAATGACCAGTGATGATGAGTATTTTATTCATATGTTTGTTGGCTTCCTGTATGTCTTCCTTTGTAAAGTGTCTGTCATATCTTTCGCCTACTTTTGAATGGGAGACAACAGATGCTGGAGAGGATGTGGAGAAATAGGAACACTTTTACACTGTTGGTGGGAGTGTAAATTACTTCAACCATTGTGGAAGACAGTGTGGTGATTCCTCAATGACCTAAAAATAGAAATCCCATTTGACCCAGCAATCCCATTACTGGGTATACATCCAAAGGATTATAAATCATTCTACTATGAGGACACATGCACATGAATGTTCATTGCAGCACTGTTTACAATAGCAAAGACCGAGAACCAACCCAAATGCCCATCGATGATAGACTGGATAGGGAAAATGTGGTACCTATACACCATGGAATATTACGCAACCATCAAAAACGATGTGTTTGTGTACTTTGTAGGAAAATGGATGAACCTGGAAACCATCATTCTCAGCAAACTGACACAAGAACAAAAAATCAAACACTGCATGTTCTCACTCATAGGGGTGTTGAACAATGAGAACACATGGACACAGGGAGGGGAGCACTGTACACTGGGGTCTATTGGGGGGAAATGGGGGAGGGACGTGGGGTGGGGAGGTGGGAAGAGATAGCATGGGGAGAAATGACAGATACAGGTGAGGGAAAGGAAGGCAGCAAACCACACTGCCATGTGTGTACCTATGCAACAATCTTGCATGTTCTTCACATGTACCCCAAAACCTAAAATGCAATGAAAAAAAAATTGCCATTCCTGTCCAATAAAAAAAAATTACAACACTATTATAATTGTTTCAATAATAAGACATTATCATGGTCTGAATAGGAGCCCTTAAAATTTATACGTTGAAATTCTAACACCTGAGGTGATAGTATTAGGAAGTTGGGTCACAAGGGTGGAACTCTTATCAGTGCTGTTATGAATAAGATGCTTGCCTATTCCAACAAATGAAGACACAGCCACAAAGTAGCCTCTATGAACTGGGGAAGTTAGCCTTCACTAGACACAAAATCTGCTTGATTTTGAACTTAGTCTGCAGAACTGTGGAAAATAAATTTCTGCTTTTATAAGCCAGTTAGTTTATGGTATTTGGTTATAGTGGCCAAAAGAGCCTAAAACAGACAAATTGTTTTTGCTTCCTTTTTGAATTCTCTCAGATTGTTGCTTTAAGTTTACTTTAGTGCCTAACCCTGCTCCAAGCTCCCTGTCCTCCAGCACACATGTATAAATAATTCTGATGGGAACTGACATGTTTCACTCAGTCATTCAAATGTATTTATTGTGTTGTCAAAATATGTAGCACTGTTACAATGTTTAAATGTCAACACATATTTTTAAATACATGCTTTAACACAGTACTGTGATTATTATTAATATTTAGTAACTTACCTTATCATACCTTAACTCAAAGTTTTTCATAATAACACTGCCTTAT